CTGTTGTAGATGTCTCTGTGAGGTTCTGCTCTGGTTTCACTGCTGGTTTTGGGTCTGTTGTAGATGTCTCTGTGAGGTTCTGCTCTGGTTTTGGGTCTGTTGTAGATGTCTCTGTGAGGTTCTGCTCTGGTTTCACTGCTGGTTTTGGGTCTGTTGTAGATGTCTCTGTGAGGTTCTGCTCTGGTTTCACTGCTGGTTTTGGGTCTGTTGTAGATGTCTCTCCGAGGTTCTGCTCCCCTGACGGTCGTTCAGCTTCCAGGAGAGCAAGTCCAGGTGCAGGGAGTGATCCAGACAGCCCAGTCCTCCTCGGTGATCCACTCCCCTCAGGTGCAGACCGTGCAGGTAACTCCAGCAGGGCTCTCCAACCCCAAACCTCGGCACTTCTGTGGGTGGGAAGATGTGCAAAGGCTTGTCTGACCCTCAGTGCAGCCTTCGTGCCCCGTGAGAGGCAGAGAGGGATCCAGGGACAATCCTGTGGGACACAACATCCTCCTTTGGTGCTGGACTCACCTTTGGAGTTCAAAATAAACGTTTAACCTTTGTTAACAAAGGCCTCCCTTTGTTAACAGACCCAGCCCACGGCTCTGGGGCTGTGCCTTGGCAGTCAGGGAACTGGGGTTTGGTCCCCAAAGCAGGGGAATAACAGAATAATTAAAAATTGGATTCGAATGAGTCTTTGGGAAAGGTGGGCCTGAGTGAAGGGCTGAGCTGCTGCTCGCTCACCTCGTGCGCTCCGTGACTCCCTTTCAGAGGTGCCCAAGTCTCTGCTTGTGCCTCTTACTCACTTGCCACGTGATTCCTGTGAGTCACTTCCGAGAGAGGTGCCCGGGGAGTTCCAGGGAGGCTGTTCCTGCTCCAGTCAGTCCCTGCTGCAGAGCCCTCAGGGCACTGGAGTTGCACTGGGAAGCTGCTGCCCTGGCAGCGGGGCGAGGGAGGAGCTGCCCTAAAACCCAGGAATTTGTCCCTGATCCTTGTCCCACACTCCTCATAGCACACTGAACTGATAAACCATGGGAAGCAAAGCTGGCAGGGATTGTCAGCTGCCACTGCTGGGAATCAGAGCAGGGAGAGGAGAACACGTGTGGCTCCTGAAAGCAGTCGAGCCTCTGCCTCAATCAGTTGTTGGTGCTCCTGTCTCCCTTAATCCCATTCCTTTTCCTTCCCCCAGGGTCCCACTGACTGGATTCTTTCCTCTTTTTTTCCCCCCCCATGTTATTTATGAACATTGTGGCCTTGTTGGGGGGGAAAAAAAGTACAACATGAGCAGGTTTTTTTTCCCTGCTGATCGTGGGCTGCTCTGTCTGTCTCTGCAGCTCAGTGGGAAAGGCTTTTCCCAGAGCTCTGTGCATTCCTCTGGACTCTGCTGCTGGCACACACATAAGAACAGATAAATATTTTCTTCACTAATAAGGAGCATCAGAGACAAAATAACACTTCAAGCACACAGTAGAATAAAGAAAGTTGCAGATAGTACTTTGCACATTTGCTCCCTGATACGCCGCTGCCTCAAACGTTATTTTCCTTGGACTCGTGTTCTCACCACCAAACTCCACTGCTCCTCTGCCTGCATAAACATCTGTGTTTGTGCATCACTGGTGTTCCTGTTCCCTCTCCCACCAGGTCTCTTCCTTGTCTGAGAGTGAGGATTCCCAGGACTCCTCAGACAGCATTGGCTCCTCGCAGAAGGCTCGAGGCATCTTGGCTCGTCGCCCCTCGTACCGGTACTGATGAGCTGGGACACACCTGGGGGTTGTGTTTGAAACCAAGAGAGGGGCTCCTTTCAATGCTTTCACATGCTCTGTCCACCTCCAAGTTGTTTCCTTTGCCTTGGAACGTGCAGAGGGTCTGTTCATGCACCGAACACCCTGAGCTGACAGAGGAAACTTTGACTCCGCCGACTGGAGCTGGGCCTCAGCACGATGTTGTGCAGGGGAAAATGTGCATCAGCTGGGATCTTACTCACTTGTATCATTTTGCTGAAAGTGGGGAGTGTAGCCAAATGTCAAACTCTTTTTTTTTTTTTTTCCACAGAAAAATTTTGAAAGATCTTTCCTCTGAAGACACACGGGATAGAAAAGGAGATGAGGAAAGTCCCGGGGTCTCCACTGTCACCTCCATGTCCGTTCCCACACCCATCTACCAGACAAGCACTGGACAGTACAGTATGTTACCCAAAATACCTACACAGTTTTTATTCAAATGGCCTCAAAATACAGGTTTTGTTATATATTTGATTAAGATGAAACTCGAAAGTTGGTTATTATCTAGCAGTCAGTGGAGTTAGTACATAGAAATAACTGGTATCTAAGACTTCAGATAAACTCAGTCCTTTGTAATCTTAATTTTTGCACATTAAGACAATTAAGGCTGTTGATGTGAAGCACAGAGCAGTGTTCTGTGCTGGATTTAACCCAAAATGTCAGCTCAGTGAAGACACCAATACATATATATATATATATATATATATATCATAGGCCACACCAAAAGGTTCCTGTGGTATCAGGGAGGCAGCAAAACAATAGGATTTGTCCCTTTGGTGTCATCACCTGGTATTCACTGTGCTCCACACCTGCTCCAGCACGTGGAGCTCCTCCTCTCCATCCTCTGAGCAGAGGGTTTGTGCTTCAGAGGTCGTTTCCCTTCACTGGGGGCTCCAGGAGACCTGGAGAGGGACTTTTGGCAAGGAGCGGTGGGACAAGGGCTCCTGGCTTCCACCTGGAAGAGGGCAAGGTTAGATGGGATATTGGGAAGCAGTTCCTCCCTGTGAGGGTGCTGAGGCAGTGGAATGCTCTTCCTGGAGGTGCCCAAGGCCAGGTTGGATGGGGCTTGGAGCAACCTGGTCTAGCAGAAGGTTTCCCTGGGAGTGGAACGAGACGATCCTTGAGGTCCTTCCCACCCCGCCCATTCCACGATTCCTTGATTTACCTGTGTTTTACACTGCCCAGCTCCCAACCCTGCTGTCCTGTCCCTTCCCCGCAGTCGCCATCGCGGCCAACGGGCTGCAGCTGGCGGGGCCGGGCTCGGACGGGGTGCAGGGGCTGCAGACCCTGACCATGGCCAACGCCGGCGGCTCCCAGCCCGGCCCCACCATCCTGCAGTACGCCCAGACCTCGGACGGGCAGCAGATCCTGGTGCCCAGCAACCAGGTGGTGGTGCAGAGTGAGTACCCCTGGGGTCACCCCCCTTGGTGTCCTGTTGTCCCCTCCTAACCCTGCCCTGTTTGGTGTCCCATTGTCCCCTCCTAACCCTGCCCTGTTTGGTGTCCCATTG